GGGATACATGCTTCGTCTCTTCTCTGCTCATATATATACATTGTTTAACATTTTTTAATGTACACTGTGTTGGAAAAATAGGCTCTATTTATAAAATTCTTTTTGTTAATAACTTTTTAATAAACAATGAGCGACTAACAAGATAATACTTTTTGCAAGTTAGAGTCATGTCCTTGACACATGTCGAAGTCATTGAAATCGATTAGGTCGTCACTAATAAGTTACAATTTTCCAAAAAAAATTCAATTTGAGCAACTGAATGGGAACCAGTCAGCAAATCATGACTCGATAACGATATTTCTGCCACCGCGAAAAGATTCATTTAAAAAAGCCACAGACATTTATGATATACTAAAACGCTAAACTCGGTTTTCTAGATGTATAATATGTAAAATACAACTCGTATATTCGCTGTACGTATAAACATCGACACATACATTAGCGCAAACGTAGTGATTGATTGAACAGTTTCGCAGAACAATTGTTGGGGTAAATTGCATTCCAACCGGTTCTCTCTCTCTCTCTCTCTCTCTCTCTCTATCTCTCTCTCCCTTTCTCTCTCTCTCTCTTTCTCTTTCTCTCTAAGTCTGCGCCAATGCGTTATGTAAGTACACTGGATTTCAAAACGGTGCGAACTCTATTTTACGCAGCTCGGAACACAGCCGATGGCAGACCGAACACAGAATTCAACTTCTGGCAACTTTTCAAGAAAAAGCTGTCTCATTGGCCCGTCGGCTGTGTTTCGGACTGCATTCAAGAAAAAATATTCATACCGTTTTGAAACTCAACGTACATAGCTCTCGGATACGCCGAATTTAGGGAGAGATCCACACAACACACACATGTCTCAAAGACGTCTTTTTAAAGATATTAAGAAGGAGGCATACTTTCGTTAGACGTTTTTTTAAACACACGTGTTGTATGCGAAATATGCAGGACATGCAGGACATTACAAAAAAGGTTTCAAAATTTTTTAAGTAGACAGTACCCGTTATGCTAACAAGTAACATTACCTAACTGTCACTCACCGATTTCAATGAAATTTGGCATGCACGTAGAACATTGAAAAATATTGAACACATTTTTTTCTATCGGCTGACAACGCATTTTAAGAGTGGAAATTATCCTTTGATCCCTGAATATGAAAGCACTATTTTAACCTTTTGTACATATTACATGTGATTCTCGTCAAACTTGTCTTCTATTGAACTAATCAGTAAGGGGTTTTTAGGGTCGCTGATTACGAATCTGGAGATAAAATTACAAAATTCAAGTTGGCAGATCTAATATGGCGGACCGAAATTATAAAAAGATAGCTGATTCAAACCAACTTTGGTATCTGAAGGTTTTTGGGGCCTCTAATTACGAATCTGGAGATAAAATTACAAAATTCAAGATCGCGGAATATGATGCAATATGACAGATCGAAATTGTACCAGTGAAGGAGGATATTACCTCAGGCAATTACATTTACTGAATTTAACAATGAATCGGTATTCAAAATTGACCTGTAGCGTCAGTTTTTTTCAGATTAAGAAGTTGGTCTTCCAAAAAATTATTATCTGTCAGTATCCGAGCGGAATATGTAATGATATTCTAATATATCTTGATAAGATATAGATATAGATATCTTGATCTCTTATACCTTATATTTATTCATTTATTTATATTCTATTTATTTATATATTTATTCATATTCATTCATATTATTTATTTAAATTCTGGACTTGAACAGCAAAAATCTATTAATGTTCAAAACATTAATCTTAACGTCCAGAAAATTTATATAATTAATATCCATGAAAGTTTACTATAAACCTTCTTAAAAATCTCACAAGTAAAACACATTACAATAATAATAATAATAATAATAAAGTGCGGTAAACAAATTACATTTTGACTTCCAACTTCAGATTCGTAATTAGAGATCCCAAAAACCTCCAGATACCAAAATTGGTTTGAATTAGCCATCTTTTTACAATTTCGGTCCGCCACATTGGGTCCGCCATCTTGAATTTTGTAATTTTATCTCCAGATTCGTAACCAGCGACCCTAAAAATCCCTTACTGATTAGTTCAATGGAAGACAAGTTTGGCGAGAATCACATGTAATATGTACAAAAGGTTAAAATAGTGCTTTCATGTTCAGGGATCAAGGGATGATTTCCACCTTTAAAATGCGTTGTCAGCCGATATAAAAAAACACGTGTTCAATACTTTTCAATGTTATACGTGCATGCCAAATTTTATTGAAATCGGTGAGTGACAGTTGGGTAGTGTTACTTGTAAGTAAAAAGTGCCTAATAGAAATAGAAAAATTAATCTTTACAAAATTATCAGTGTTTTTTGATTTTGTTCATACAAATTTAACGAAGAAAGAGTATCTTGCCACATTATTACTTTATTACTACTCTGATATTTACAAAATGTGTTCTATATGTTCTTTACCTATTTCTATATATGCTTGATAACATCTACATGTTATTAAATTACAAATTCTTTCAAAAATGCTGAATCTTCTTCGAATCAATTCAACTGTATCTTAGAAAATATCTAGTATAATTCTCTTAAATAGAAATTCTACATAATTTCTGGACGAAGAATACATTCTGCACAAAAAGCACCCGGAATCGGCATTTGTTTCACATAAAATACAAAATATTCAATTATGCAGGTAAATGTATTATGTCACCTTCAAAATAGTTCCTACTCCGTGCAATACATACAGGGTCTGCCAAAAGTTCCGGAACGGTTAATTATTTCAAAAATAATGATTATTTAAAACAATGTTTGAAACAAAAGTTGTAGGGCTTGAAAAAGCTATCAGATATTGATAATTATTTGACCTTAGAATGACCTTGAGAAATGTTATCAAGGTCGACATAAAAATCTTAAATGGAAACTCCAATTTTTTATTACACCGCCTTTTTCCACCAATTAATTTGAACAACTTTTGTCTGAAACATTTTTTTATCCCAACAAACAGTTAGCGAGATATCGTAAATTAAATATTGAAAAAGTTACCAAGTTATTCTTAAATATCTCAAAAAATATTAGGCAAATAAAAAAATGTTTCTCAAGGTCATTCCAAAATCAAACAATTATCAATTTCTGATAGGTTTCTTAAGCTCTACAACTTTTATTCCAAACATTGTTTTAAACAATCAATACTTTTTGAAATAATTAGCCGTTCCGGAACTTTTGGCTGACTCTGTATGAGCCAACGCTTAATTCAATCTTCGAAACATTTTTTATAAGCCGATTTTAGTATGGCTTTGAGTTCCTTTCTCTTTTACTATCTCAGTCATCTGAAAACGCTTATCACGAAGCGGTAATCTGAGTTTTGAGAAATCATAATGCGTTACATGAATGTTTTTGTCTGTAGGTGCTTAAAAAATTATTCCTTCGGCCACATTTTTGCAGTAGTTTTTTACAAAAAATTCAGCTGTTTCGGTACCAACCATGTCGCAACGCGTCTGATGCCCAAAACTTCGGTCAAAATGGTATGGATAGAGCAATTTGATATGTTAAGCTCAGCACCGATCTCTCTTTCACTCACACGGCGATTTTCAAGCACTAATTTCTTCACTCTTTTAATTTCTTCACTCGTTTTCGTCGGTATTTCACGTGGATGGGCGATTAGAACGAGGTAAGTCTTCGATGGCTGTACGACTGTTTTTGAATAATTTATATCATTTATATGCCTGTGTTTTTAATATAGTTATCCCTGTATTCTTTCTGTAGCATTTTCAACGCATCGGTGCAAGAAATTTAATTAAAAAGACAAAATTTAAGACAAACTCTTTGCTCCACAATATTCAATATCCTGAAGGCGACTGACATAAATAGCTGCCACGAACAAACTGACAGATCGCACTCTAATTCTATATGAGAAATACAGTGGTACCAACTCAATTACAAAAGGATTTTGAGATGTCATAAACGCGCGTCGTTTACATGAGCAATTCCGGGTATTTTTTAAGTAGAAGGTATACATAAATTAAAAAAAAGATATATAAACACCTTTGGTAAATATGAAAGTAATAATACGGTAAGATATTAAGATAGTAATATTTGTCCGTTAAACTTGTGTCATTAAAACCAAAAAACATTTCTAATTCCGAAAGGGTCTTTACAGGCACTTCTTTTACTCCTACAATTGAGTTTCCATTTGTTCCTCGAATAAGAGAAAATCAATTACACGAAGCGAGTATGCTCCTCCACGTGAAATTTTCTTCCGTGTAAGAGAAATCGCTGTATCTTCGAAAGATTTTGAAGCGAACGGAACGACGATTGAAAGCACGATGAAATAATATCGTAGCGCGTGCGCACGTATTCATATCGAATTGGGATATTGGGGATTATCGGAATATGAGGGATGGGATTTTCGAGATAATGTATGATTTATTATACGAAACAAGCGCTCGAGGAAATAATCCCGCAATTATTGCATAATTATCACTATATCATTGCTCTCGCTGTATAAAACGCTGTCTCTGGGAGTTTTATATTAAAACAACGTCAAAGGGAGACTCGTGACTATTCTATAATCCTCGCACAGCAAAGCGCTGCACTCGCGCATGAGTACGTTTGTCGCGTCGAGCAAACATCACAAAGCATACGAACGTCTCCGTGCGTCCCGCGAGCTTAACTCCAGCGAGCTTTTTGCTGCTTCTCGCAGCTTTTCACGAGCGAGCGGGGAATCGCGTGATGCGATTTGTGCGTTCTACCGATTTCTCGCAACGTGCGTCGGATGTGCGCTCGCTCGCTTTTCCTTCTTCCTTCCTCTCGTTCTACGCATACAAATCGTCGACGCGAATTTCGCCATAGAGATAATTAATTATAATAAACAGGACGCCGACAGTCGAAGAAGGTCGAGAAACGATAGCAATTTCGAGTTTCGACCCAACCAAATCTTGCTAGTTTATTCGAGATATCTTACGAGCTAGCTGGAAATTTCAACTTGAAAGGACTCGAGGAAACAAGTAAAGAGGCACCTACCTTCGAGAACAGTCGGATGGCCCTTATTTCTCCTTGACTGGCCTGCCGAGGGTCTGTAACAAGAACAATGAAGGGAAAAATAGCGTCGATTATAATAGCGCATCGTACTACGCGACGTAGAACCAGATTTCTACAAATTTGCATACGCGTATAGGGTTTAACAGCAACATACAGGTCAGTATGACAGGTTGCTTGCCCCTATTCGGATGATAACGCAGAGGTTTACGAAACAGTCACTCGTTGACTTTGTTGATAATGATATTTGCCGTATTTCCAATCCCAGTTATGACAAATGTAACTAACTTTGCACCGTGTTCGTTATGACAGTTTGTCGACCGTTCATCGACAGGAGTCGAGCCTCATTGAATTAGAAAAAATGTTTAAAAAATGAAACTGAGAAATAAATATTACAGAATAAAGCAGAGTAAGAGTAATATTTAAAAAGATAAATAATACAACATATTTCCTGGTTTCGCATAATTTCTTAATTGTTTTCTCACGTTGGAAAGTTCGATAGAAATTGGAGATTAGGAAGAACGATATAGAAATATTTAAAAGTCTTATATACTGTATTTCATCCATGTTTCTACAAAAAATCGCTTCTGCAAAAGTATGAATAGACTACAAACGCAATATACATATTGGTTGCAATTTAATCGACCGTAACTATCAAACTGCAAAAACTTTCGAAAAACAGACCCTATTTTCGATAAAAGATACAAGACTATAATGACCCTATAGATTATAAAAGGCCCTATTTTCGATGCCAAAATACAAGACTATAATGTATCGAAAATATATGGCTTGATAGTTGCGGTCGATTAAATTGCAACCAATATTTATACTGCGTTTCTAGTCCCTTCATACTTTTGCAGAAGCAATCTTTCATAGAAACATAGATGAAATACAGTATATAAAATCTTTAAATATTTTTGTATCGTCCTTTCTAATCTTCAATTTCTATCGAACTTTTCAACGTAAGAAAACAATTAAGAAATAATGCAAAACCAGGAAATATGTTGTATTATTTATCTCTTTAAGTATTACTCTTGTTTATTCTGCTTTATTCCGTAATATTTATTTCTCAGTTTTATTTTTTAAACATTTTCTAATTCAATGAGGCTCGACTCCTGTCAGTAAACGGCCGATATATTGTCACAACGATCATAGTGCAAAGTTAGTTGCATTTGCCATAACTGGGAACACTGTAAATATCATTATCAATAAAGTCAACGAGTGATTTTTTCGGCAACCTCTGCATTATCATCCGAATAGCGGCAAGCAACCCATCATACTGACCTGTATGTTGCTGTTACACCCTGTACACTATTTATTATCGCGACGATTTATTGGGAAAATCGCACGCACCGAAGTTTGCCGTTTGAGCAACACAATTTTACTTTGCCATAATATTTACGAAACATCGATTGTCGCTCATCCCTCCCTCCCTCCTCCACTCCTCCTGCGCTCCTTTATGAGAAACCGAAGGTAACGCTGCCACAATAACGGCGTATCCGTTAGCGAGGAAGGATCACCGTGTGCGCGAACACATTAATCCTTTGTGCGAGGCGTATCGCGAACTTGGCGAAGAGTAACAGGCGGAAATAAGTGATCTCTGTCACGGGGCGACGAACAGAGGGAGCTGTATAAGCCGATACCGAAAGAATTAACCGGCTAGGGGAACGTCACTTAAGCGAGTTGTTGGGAACTTTCGTAAGTTATGTATTAACCAGGGAGAGAGAGAGAGAGAGAGAGAAAGAGAGAGAAAGAGAGAAGGAGAGAGAGAGAGAGAGAGAGAGAGAGAGAGAGAGAGAGAGAGAGAGAGAGAGAGAGAGGGAGAGAGAGACAGAGGAGGAGAGGGGAAACAAGGCTTACGAACTGTAATACTCGTGATTCTCGCCGTCGACCTGAGTCTTCGCGGCGCGCGAATATTCCTGTCACGCCGCGCGGCAGATAAGCAATCATTGTTTCCTATTGCACGCCTGTCACGGTTCGTTCGAATACATCGAGCGATTCCTGACAAGCGCCTGCTTGCACGTCCTTCTGTCTTGCAGTTTTAACTTCGCATTTTTCAACTCGCGAGATGAGCGCTCTGAAAGTTCAGCTCCGAACTCAGGCAGTTCAGAGGAGAACTGAAAGTTAATCATTTACACGCGCATACCGACTTGCATAGTGGATATTGTAAGCGAAGAGTGTTTCGCGACTTGTTTTCTCTCTCCTCTTACATTATGAAACTTTTTACATTCAATACTGACAAAGGATTATTCCGTGTAATTTTAGCCAAGAAGACAGCGCTCTTCAATCGCGCAGCCATCTTTCTTGCGAATTCCGCAACCAGAAAACAAGAAAGAAAGCAATGAGCAACATTGCTTCTTCTTAAAGGAATGCCAAATTGGATGACGGATTCGAGTAATGCCAATAACATTTAAGCAATCGTTAAAGCGTCATGTCAAGTAAGCACTAACATGTTTAACGTCTCTTTCGTAATTCTTATATATTAGGAGTGTGATTTAGTTTTAAAGGTTTTACAAGAGACGGACTAATGCCAGTTTTGTCGATTCCAATCACAGCTATTGTTTCTTAATGCTCTAATATCAATCAATGATATTTAGTTATTTACTGACAATAGACGCAATAAAAATCGTATTAATAACATCTGAGAAATGGAACTTCCTAAAGAGCATTTTCGATGCGTTGCTTTTGTTTTTTAATTAGAAGTAAACGACGGTTGAAAGTCATAGAATTCTGATAGAAACTTATCGTGGTGTTGCTCCATCAATGAAGACATGTAAATCTTGGTGTAGGCTATTCAAAAGTGGTGATTTCAATGTTAACGACAAAGATCGTTCGGGACAAGCGAAAAAGCTTGAAAATGAGATTTGCAAGCATTATTGGACAAAAATCCAATACAACACTTCAGAACATGCCAAAGCATTAAGTGGTGATCGTATAACAGTTACTAAACGTTTACATGATATGGAAAAAATTCACAAAGAAGGAAAGAGTTCCACATCAATTACCGGAAAATGCAATTGCAAACATAGCATAATTGGCATAGTTGAATATTTGCATTTCATTGATCGCCAGACAAAAAATAAAAAGTTTCTTGTATCGAATTGTTGCTGGGGATGAGAAATGGATCTATTTCGATAATCCTAAACAAACAAAATCATAGGTTAATCCAGGCCTATCAGCAATATCCACTTCGAAGCGCAATATTCACGGTTCAAAGGTATTGCTGTGTATTTAGTGGAATCAAGAATGTGTTGTGTGACTATGAACTATTAAATATGAATGAAACTGTCATCGCTGATCGTTATTCACAACGATTATACAAACTGAAGTGAGCATTGGACCAAAAATGATCACCAATTGCGAGTAAACGACGCAAAGTGATTCTTCTTCACGACAATGCTCGACCTCATGTTGCATTATCAGTGAAGCAAACGCTATTAGAGTTGGAACGGAAAGCCTTACCGCACCCCGCGTATTCTCCATCCGATTATCACTTGTTTCGATCGATACAACATGCTCTAAGGGATACACGCTTTCATAACTTTTCAAAAGTGCGAAAATTTGTTGAAAATTGGATCAACTCCAAAGAAGAATCTTTTTATCTATTGTCATGGAATCCATCTCTTGCCAGAAAGATGGGAGAGATGGGAAAAAGTTGTAGAAAACGAAGGAAAACATTTGATTAAGGTATTTGTTTATTATATTGTTTAAATAAATCAGTTTTTTAAAAAAACCCTCAAAACTAAATCACATCCCTAATATATGACTCTTTTAGAAGTGTGTGCTGATTTGTTTTATTATACTCGGCAAAAAAACATGACTATGCATATACAGGGTGCACGATTTATCTGAAGACATTGAAATATCTCGAGAACTATGCATTGGATAAAAAAAAGTGGTTAATGAAAGTTGTTAGTCTCGAAGGGGGACATCCAACGATATCAAACTCGACCTTCCACCCCACCCCCTGGGGGTGGCGGTTGGGGGCAACTTTGAAATCTTAAATGGAAACCCCCATTTTTTATTGCAGATACGGATTCTACAAAATACGTAAATTTTGTCCGAAACTTTTTTTTGATTCGTGATAGATGGCGCTGTAATCGCAAAAAATATATTATATTTTCCGCAATTCTCCAGAAATGATCATTGGATTGAGAAATAAAAAATACCTGTTCAATATTTTTAAAGAACATAATAAAAGTTATTCCCCCTCCCCATCTTCTCGGGGTAGGGTGGGTGGTAACGTTCAAATCTGCATGACGGTTGCCCAGCGCATAACTCAATAGCAGCACGGGAAGTATTAGACCGTGATTACAATGGTCGATGGATTGGCAGAGGTGGCCCGATTAATTGGCCTGCTAGGTCGCCTGATTTGACATCGCCGGATTTCTTTCTGTGGGGTTACCTAAAAGATAAGGTTTATCAACAAGTGCCAACAACTCGTGAAAACATGGTAGAACGCATAAGAAACGCTTGCGCTGAAACTCCCGCAGATATGCTTCTATCCTGTATACAGTCATTTGAAAAAAGGATCAATAAGTGTATTGAAGTTGAAGGTAAAAGTTTCGAACACTTACTCTAATTAATTGAACAGTGAGAGGCAAGGGGACTCACATTAAAAAAGCACCCCGATCTGTGAGAGGCAAGGGGACTCACATTAACCACTTGTGCTGGAAAGACGTGCCACGCACGTCGTAATGCTTTTGTCACAGAATCGCCAACGACGTGGTATGTACGTCGTCATGCGATTGTCACAGAAACAAAAACGACGTGCGTGGCACGTCGGGTGGGATTGTTTGCCAGACACAAATGCCAAAAAGAATCCACAGCGAAGGTGTAGAGTGTGTACCAAACACAAAAAACGAAGTAAAACTATATGGGAATGTAAGAAATGCCTTGTACCATTACATGTTCCAGACTGTTTCGAGAGATACCACACTTTGCATGATTATTAATAAATAAATTAAATATTTATATTTGTATAATTTTATAATCAATCGACGCTCTATACTCCCTTCAAAAAGCTATTAAAAGTCCT